AGCAGCTGTTTCCATCTAAAGAAAAAAACAAACGAGAAAAACAAGCAAAAAACGTTTGATTCCTAGCTACTCCCAGAATGCTGTTCAAACTGTCGGCATGTATATCAATCACAATAAATAGATATGGCATTGAAAATTTCGCAAATCACATATATGGGGGCTTTCAAAAATTAATTTGTGGGAGCCCTGTCCCAATAAAAGGTATTAACTATACACGTTTGAATAGGTGGGACATTAAGGTCTAGTGGAGCCACGTGAAGCTTCATTCACCTTTTGAGATATCTGGAGTAACAAATTAAGTTTATGGTCAAAAACTACACCCAAGTCCTTAATTGAGTTATATCGATTTGTGTAAACATCCCTAATAATAATAATAATAATAAAATACCTTTTCACGGATGATTTTTTAAGAGGTATAGGATTTGATTTTCAAAAAAAAAACACTAAAAATTTGAAAAAAACGATTAAATCTTTCTTTGAGTCGATAGAACGGTCGATATAATTTAATGTTTAAAGATAATTTCATGTAAATGTTGGCCGCGGCTCCGCTTTAGATGGCCCATGCGCAAGCTCCAATTTTGGCACACTCTCTCCAACCTATCGGCCGGTATCTCACGAATAAATGCTTCAATATTGGCTTTCAGTGCGTCAATCGTTGCTGGTTTATCCCTGTAGACATTAGCCTTAACATGGCCCCACAAGAAATAGTCCAACGGCTTTAAATCACACGATCTAGGCGGCCAATTGACGGGCCCCAAACGTGAGATAAACTGTTCACCGAACTCGCCTCTCAATAGGGCCATTGTTTCGTGTGCGGTGTGGCATGTGGCACCGTCTTGTTGAAACCACATGTCAGCCAAGTCCAGCTCTTCCATATTGGCCAAAAAAAAAATTTGTTATCATCGCACCGTAGCGCTCGCCATTCACAGTTACGTTCCGGCCATTGTCGTCTTTGAAGAAGTACGGCCCGATGATGCCACTGGCCCATAATCTACACCAAACAGTGATTTTTTCGGGATGCATTGGTAGCTCTTGCAACGCTTCTGGCTGGTCTTCACTTCAGATGCGGCAATTTTGCTTATTAACGTACCCATTCAACCAGAAATGAGCTTCGTCGCTGAACACAATTTTTCGATAAGGATGTGGATCTTCCTCCAACTTTACCAGCGCCCATTCACCAAATTGGAAACGTTGTGGGAGGTCGTGTGGCTTCAATTCTTGCACCAGCTGTATCTTATAACGTTTTGCACCCATATCCTGTAGCAAAATTTTCCACGTAGTGGAGTAACAGAGGCCCAATTGCTGCGAACGGCGGCGAATCGACATTTCACGGTCATCACTAACACTGGCGGATACAGCCGCAATATTTTCTTCAGTCCTCACTCTACGTCTGCGTGTTGGTGGTTTAATGTCCAATAATGTAAACTGGATTCGAAATTTAGTCACAAGCTTCTGAATAGCTCCCTTAGTAGGCCGACCAAATTGCCCATAAATTGGACGCAGTGCTCGATGCACTCTCTTAACCGAGCATGAATTCAATAATTTGCAAGCGTTGTTCGTTCGTAAGTCGATTCATGGTTAAATTATAGACCAAACTGAACAAGTTTGACAATGTCACAAGACACGATTCACGCGTCATCTGTCAAAAACAGTGTTGCCAAAAAGATACTAGCAAAAAAATCACCCATTATTTTCCTGGCGAGGATTCAGCTAGCAGCTGTTCTTACTCCCTAACCAGCGCACCAATTGCTTACAAGCACCTTTACAATAAAATTTAATAATCTACAAGAGTGTTAGAAGTAAAAAAAAAACAACCAGAGTCTGTTCACAGTTGTATAGATAGGCCGTCTCTAAATATGAGCTCCTTGATTTGTCCTTTAAATCTACTAAGAGGTAGCTGCCTGACTGAAAGCGGTATTTTATTATACAACGCAGCTCCTATATAAGAAGACGATTTTTTAAAATTAGATGTATTGTGAGCAGGAATATCCAGTGTATGTTTGACAAATCTAAGATTGGCAGTATGATATTGATTACGCATAGATAATTTATCTTTTAAGTAGGCGTTTATTACAAAGAACGGAATGCACCAAACAGCACAGATGTACCATCCACCTTTTTCTGATAATTAACCATGGAATATGTGTCAAATATATAGATACTTTCTCGTCGGGGGACACCTACTGCATAACGGACACATGCATTTTGAATCGTTTGCAACCTGTAGGATTCATTTTGTATCAGGCAAGGCCCAAACATAGAATCAGCATATTCTACTTTGCTTAGAATCAACGAATTAGTTAACCTAACTTTGACGGATTCAGAAAGTATATATACTTTTCAAGGCACTATATGAGCTTTGTACTATTTTTGTGACATGGTCATAGAATGTTAACGATGAGTCAAAAAGCACACCTAAATTTTTTATCTGCAGTTTATGATGGAGTGGCTCACCTCCGATAGATAAATTGACAACTTTACTGTCAAAATTGCTTAGCTTGGATTTAAATGTAATGACGGTGGATTTTCTTGGATTTATAAGTAATCCACGGCTAGAGAAATATTGATTTGCAGCCTGTAGGTCTCTTGACAGTTTGGTATTGGCTTCTAAAAAATTATCAGGATTATATGAAAGGTAGATCTGGGTGTCATCTGCATATGAGTGAACTTTACAATAAGAAAAAATCTTAACTAAGACGTTTTCCTGGAACAACTGACTACAATACACTGAGGACGCATCAAGAAATACCTTATTCTCGTCACATCAAGCTATTGAAGCTGGAGTACAATACAATGAACCGCAATATCATCAATAAATAAGGTAAACAATAAAGGACCAAGATCTGAACCCTGATGCACTCCCGATTTAGTTACTTACTAATACGACTTGAAGCCATTGGAAGTAACATATTGTTTCCTTCTATAAAGATAACGTTGAATGAGTGGAAAGCTTATACAAGGAATTCATATTGAGAATGTTTATTTAAAAGTATGACATGGTCCACCCTATCGAACACTTTAGCAAATTAAGGTGCTCATTTGAGATCTTCCCACCACGGATTCATCGAAAACCACTGATTAAAAAACATTTTCACCCTCTGCCCCCTAAGGTCATCCCCTTATAAATTTGAAGTGACAAGGGGTATCGAGTAACAGCTTGTTTGAAAGGTCTTTCGAAGCCCTTTATTTTGACGTTTGATTATTTGAAGTCAGTCGATTCGCTTTCCAAGAATATCAGAAATATCTTTATTTATCTTAATTTGTTCAGAAAGAAAACAAAAATTGTCAAGGGGTTGACCCTGGGGGCAGAGGGTGAAAGGGGATGGAGTAGTTACACCTTTAGTAAATCTTTTGACGTGTCTCGGTGTTTTTTCTTTTGATCAGTGGTTTTCGATAAATTCGTGGTGGAAAGTTTTCAAATGAATGAATGATGTATATACTACATCTAGTTGACCTTGCCGGTAGGCACATTGAATAGCGAACTGAGTAGAGATTATTAAATTAGTTACTGTGGATCTTTTAATAAGAATGATGTGCTCAAAAGGGGACAGATCTATCAACTGAGGAATAAATTATGTTATGCAACATGATCCCCAGCAATTCGGAGAAATTTGACAATAACGCCACCGCTCTATAGTTTTTAATATCACAACCTGAAAATAGGTGTCGCTTCAAAAAGTTTCCAAATATCAGGAAATGTATTGGTTGCTATAGTGAGATTGAATGTTTTTAATAATGATCTAGGCATGAATACAGTATTTGACTATAAACGAGGGGAGGTTGTCAGCGCCGTCCGTTACTTTCTTCTTGAGTTTTTTGGATGCAACCATAATCTCATTTCCATGAATGCCATTGAAAAATATGTTAACTTGACTAATAGGATTTCTGTCTTCAGTAAAATCATTACAAGTAGATGGATTAACAAAAAACTGCAAAGCCATTGACAGTGCTGTAAGTATCGTTCAGTGAGACTTCATTAATTTCATTTCACCAGGAATCCTAGTAGTCCGATTTTTTCTATACATGAAATTTCAAAAATGTTTAGGACATTGAGTGATTTTTATAACAGTATCATTAAACCTTAGGCAATTACCCCATGGTCGGCAACATCGATTGCATAGCCTCCAGCTTCAGTATAAACAGAGTATATTAAATTTGCCATCATTTAAATGTCAGTGTAAACTACATTTATATTTGTAATGTAATTATTAATTGCTTTATACTCGGTTGATCCATCGATCAGTGTTATAGTTGGATGGGCAACATGGTGCAGTCCAGTCTCATAAAATTAATAACTCTATCTAGCAACGGTGCAGTTGCCAGAGGTGGATCTTTATCAAAGGCAACACGGGATTATCGGGACGAAGCATATTTTATGTATACACTATCTTGTAAGTAAGATTGCAGGAGCATCAGGATCAAAATGAGTGTCTGTTGGATGCTACATCACCAAGGACTGGTGTCTCTAAGTTTATATGCTTGCCATCTGTGGTTTATTATCTGATCAGTAATCTTTGACCCTGCTACAACTCGAAAAGTACTGCTCGAGTGTTAATACAATATTTACAGAAGTCTGCTAAATTTGCATACGACAACAGACAAACATGACAGAACGCTATGTCGTATAGCTAGGACCTAGAACAGGGTAAAGACGCTTGGTAGGGTCGATGCTTAGGCAACCATAGTTGCGCGACCATCTATAGAGCGTGCTTGCATCTTGGACCGCTCGCAATCGCGCGTAGTCAAAATGCCATATGGTAGGGATGTAACGGATAGTAATTTCCCGAAACCGGCCAAACCGGGTACCCAGCTCTTTAGGATCCGGCTTCATGCCAGGTACCCGGCCCACCGGGTACCTGGTTTAATCTGTTTCCTGCTTCCACGCTCTCGGATTTACCACTACTCAAACTCAAAACATTCAAATTGAAAACGAATTTTTTTAAACTTTTTTGCGAAACTGTCGGCCAAATATTAGAATATGTAATCTTTTTTTGTTAAAGCGTTGGCAACTCTGCGAAAACCAGCTTGCCGTAGAACAAATGCACGGAGCAACGTGGATGTTTTGGGGAAAGACCCGATGTTGAGAACAGGTGTATTGTTCTGTGGGTGTATTATTGACTATTACTTTTTCACTCTAGTTACTGTCGAACTTACTATTATATTGTTTAAGGTAAAAGTTAAAAGTGCTACTAGAGAGTTATCGAGCGAGTTTATCTAATTTAAAAATGAACAAAGTATGGGAACATTTTATAATTGATAATGAAGATGAATCAAAAGCAGTGTGTGGATTATGTGGCACAAAAATTCTTCGCGGTCTTGGAAAAAAGCGAGTACATCATCTTTGTGGAAACACTTAAAATATAAGCATCCACTTACGTTAAAGGATCAAAGTAAAATCGAAAATAAGCAATGTTCATGTTCAGAATCTTCAGGAGAATTGATACAAATTATAGGAGAAATGATCGTTTTTGATAGCCAACCTTTTTATGTTGTGGAGAATAAAGGTAAAATGAAAGTAGCTACATATTACTATTAATATTATTAATTATTTTTATATGATATTTGCACTTAAATTTTAAGTTACGAAAAAAGGTTTCTCGTTGACAATTTTTATTGCAATATGGTTAGTTTTCCGTGTCATTTTATTTTAAACGTACATAGGCTACACAACGAGTTGCTGTACTTTTTAAGTTGCCATATAAACCTATCGCGAATAAATTTTCAGGATTCAAGAGAGTATTTGCTGTCCTAGAACGAAAGTATAGTATACCCAGTCGGCCAAATTTCAGCAAAACTGTCATTCCTGAGATATACGAAAGCGTCAAAGTAGAGTAGCTGAAATATTAGCAGATGCAAGATTTATTTCTTACACAACAGACATGTGGACTTCTGAAAGCTCTTAAGCTTTATAAATTTAACTGGACATTGGATTTCCAGAAATTTTTAACAAAAACATAATGTGCTAAGTATTCGTGGTCTGGATGGCAGTCATACTGGTGACAATATAAAAAATGTTTTACTAGAATTGTTAAGAAATAATAACATAGAAGTGGGCAGAGTTCACTTGGTTCTTCGAGATAGCGGTGCTAATATTAAGAAGGCTACAAAAGATATGGGAGTCAATAATGAATCCTGTTTTATACATACTCAGCAGCTTGTAGTAGTTAACTCTCTTGAAGAGCAAACATCTCTTATGGAAATTGTATCTATTGCAAAAAAATAGTGACTCATATAAACCATTCCTCTCCGTCTCGAACAAAATTAGAAGAAATTCTGAAAGACGTCAACCTACCTATCAAAAAAATAGTTCAAGATGTTCAAACACGTTGGAATTCCACGTATTATCTATTAGAAAGACTTATCGAGCAGCGAAGGGCCATTAACTTGCTTGCCACGGAAGTTGATGCTGTTCCCTCTTTGACACCAAGTCCGTGGGATTCATTGGAAAAGGTTTTATGACTTTTAGAACCATTTGAGCAAACTACCAAACATTTTAGCAGAGAATTATGCATAATATCAGAAGTGATTCCTACAGTTTTCCCAAATTAGCAGATCTTGTTCAGATGTTTCCATCAGCTCCGGCTCCAGCAATATTCAGTGAGAGGCTGTTTTCAGAAGCTGGAATGATTTTCGAATTAGGCTGCAGAAAATGGCGAAATGCTAACCTACCTCCATCATAATCTTCCTTTACTTAATTTTAAATATTAGATTATGTACGTATAAATTCGTTTTCTGTTTTCTTTTTTTACAATTTAACTTTTTTAAGTAATGTAGTTTTTATTTAATATCTATATTATTTAATATATTATGTATTAAGTTGTTTTTTACAGGCTCTTTGGCCTGTATTTTTTCAATATTTTTTTTTTCATTTATTCAGTCTACCCGGCCGGGTAGAATAATTACCCGGCAAAACCGGGTATCTCGTCAAATTATGCTTTTGCGGGTAGGCCGGGTACCCGTTACATCCCTACCATATGGTCTACTCCCATGGCAGTTCACGACTCTGCCTGGAAAACGCTATAACATATATTGATGTGTCGATAGGTAGATATACAGGGTTATCCAAATTAAGTGTCCACCATTAGTAACTTTGTTATTAGTGAAAATACAAAGTTGTTTGAATTAGCAAACTAGTAGCATTTTTAACGCTTGTACAAATGAGAAATAGAAAAAAACAATTGAGAGTCGTTATTTTGAATTTTTTCAGTAAAATAACATTTTTTTAAATATAAACCCCTGTATATTATATTTTTTTCTGTTAAAGCATCAAATTTTAAACAAAAAAGCTTACAATAACTTTTCTCCTAGGTTACAAATTGTTGAAGTTATGGCCTCCAATCTGAAACAATTAAATTGTATTGACAAACTTTATTTTCAACATGAACTTATAATCTTACAAAATACAATAACAATTTTTTTAAAGAAGATGCTCGAAAACACCACCTTGTTCTTCAATACATTTTTGGGCACGTTTTTCAACTGCTCGAACTGTCTTAAGTATGGTCCTACCATCTATCTGGGTTATCTTTTCCCTAACTGCAGTCTGTAACGCGTCAAGGTTATCGTACCTTCGCTTGTAAATTTGGTTCTTTAAGTAACCCCACAAGAAGTAATCAAGTGGGTTTAGATCTGGTGATCTGGGAGGCCACTGTATTGGGCCATTTGTTCCTATCCACTGATCATTAAAAGTAGTACTTAGAAAATGATAAGTACCTCTGGAGTTGTGGGCAGGTGCGCCATCTTGCTGAAAATGCAGATGATGTCTACTTATAAGATCCAATTCGTCTAAGAAATTAGTCAGAATTTCTGACATAAATTCCACATATCTTTCACCAGTTAGGGTTCCCTCATAAAAGAACGGGCCAGCAATTTTTGAACCAATTATACCGCACCAAACTTTGAAACTGAAACGGACTTGTGGGCCTCTTGGATGTACTAACAAAAGATTTTCTCTTGACCAATAATGGTGGTTTTTTCTATTAAACATTCCAGAATTTGAAAAATTTGATTCATCTGTCCATAAAAGGTAACGAAAGTTATTTACATTTTGGCGACAGAAGCTAAGATACCAATGGCAAAAAACAAGTCTTCTCTCTGGATCCCCTGCCAAAAGCGTTTGAACTGGTCGGTACTTATACGGAATAAATTTGTATTTTTTTAAAATCCTTTGAACAGTACCATAACTGAAATTAGAGTCCTTGAGAATATCTGCTATTGAATTCTCACGATAAGCTTCAAAATATCCAATAACTGCAATTTCCGTGGCCTCGCTTATTATGAATTATTTTTTTGCCCTTGTTTTAGCAAAAACATTTTCGTTGCCCCTAAATTTTCGATAAAGTCTCAGAAAATATCGTTCATACGGTTGAATGCGAGCGGGATATAATTCACTGTAGTATTCTCTTGCTCTCAAGGAGGATTTTCTGCACACTAAATAGCATTCTAACATATCACACTTTTCTTCATGGGAGAACATTTTTCTTTAAATTAATGACACAATAAAGCTTATAAACAAGTATTTACACTAATGTTTGACATTATTTGATTTTATCATTGTTTTCCAAAGCCTTCTAGTTGCGAGTATGTCCAGTTTAACAATTTGTCGCTTATCTTAATGCTGTCAAATCGCGAACGCCATGTTGTTTTCATAGCCGTCTTAATATATGCAAATAATTAAAAATATTTATCGTTATTTTGACTTTATTTTTGACTTTAGCGGAAAAGTCATTATGAACTTTTTTGTTTAAAATTTGATGCTTTAACAGAAAAAAATATAATATACAGGGGTTTCCATTTAAAAAAATGTTATTTTACTGAAAAAAATCAAAATAACGACTCTCAATTGTTTTTTTTTTTATTTCTCATTTTTACCAGCGTTTGCTAATTCAAACAACTTTGTATTTTCACTAATAACAAAGTTACTAATGGTGGACACTTAATTTGGATAACCCTGTATACCCGGTCAGATGACCGAAGCAGTTTGTGACAGTCGATTCCGTCAGCGGCGTGGAATTAAGATGGTCGCTATAGTTATAAATTGGATATAAATTATTTGCAAGTGTTATAAACTACCGTATCAGTAATAAATTAGATAATGATTAGTAGGACTGCCTTTTCGTTATAATTATTTAAGATGTCGTCAACATTGTTTTTTATTTTTGTACTTAATGGACAAGTTTACCATTTTTTTGTTATTATCTCAAATGAAATTTTAGGAAAAATGAAACAAGTTATTAATTTATCTTCTGCATTTGGTGAATCTGCAGTATACCGATAGTAGATAGTGGGCCCTAAGACACTCCCTTGTGGGACTCCTAAGCCGATAGGCTTAATGAATGTGAATCAGCACCATGCCTTAGAAGAAGAAGTACCTATTTGTGAGGTACGATTTCAGAAACAAGTAATGAAAAAAGGGAGAAGTTGGTTAAATTTAAAGTACAGTTATTTATGCCAAACTTTTTTCAAGTGCTTGGGATGCACCGAGAAAAGCAGCTGACTAGCATCTTTTGTTATTGAAATCTGCATTAATCTCATTCACAATTCTGTGCACTCACTCAATAGTACCATGCTTCTCCCTGAAACCAAATTAGGGATCCGGTATTAATTTAGTTTTGTCAATAAGTTCCAACAATTTTGTTATCTATACTTTTCCAAAAAGCCTTGAGAACACAGGTAGTATGCTTACAAGTGATATTTCACGCTTAGAACTTCCGAGTCCCTTAAGAATGTCATTATGGGAGACATATCTGCTGACTCAATCTACTTCACTACATTTTTTACACTCCATTTCAGTATGCCGACGTCTTCTTAAATTATTAAGATTGCCATGTTTAACGGCCCCCGCCACTTTTCGAATGAAACGTGCCATTAGTGACAAGACCCTCGATCAATTCAGGTAATCTACCAGATATTCCGAGGCAATCTAGATCGCCATCTCAGATACCTCATTCAAAATAATAACCGTGAAAAGTATAAGGAAGGTGAGCGCGTAGTTAAGATTTCATTTTCCCTCCTTGCGCCTCCTCAATTTCCGAGCATAAAAAATACGGTCAATAAACGTCGTCGCAAAACGGAGGAAGGGCGCGAGGCGGCTCTCAGCCCTCAAAGCCCTCAGCCACTTCACTCCTAATATGCTGAGCTGTTAAAATTGTATAAATCGTTAAAAAATGCAAGGCGAAAACAAGATCAAAGTGTGGACGTAGCCGCCAACCCAGGGCGGAGAGGGTATATTTTTCAAGGGGAAATGGATTCAAAAGCACTATTGGCCGATACTGTCATAGTTCCGTTTTTTCAGTCCTAGGTTAGGTTGTCATCTGTCCGGCAAAATGCTCACGTGTCCAGCTTGTCCAACTTATTTACATAATCTTTCCTATCAGCTGCTGAGAGAATTTCATAATTATACAAGCCGCAGCTATTAGCCCCTCCGCCCTCACCTCTCTTCAATTATCACAGTGCTGAGCAGGCACTGATGCATCCATTTCCCCCTGTCCCCAACGCACTAACGCTCAATCATGTACCACTCTTCAAGTCCGACTTATACACTTTAGGAGTTGGCCACTCCACTCGCAGGTCTTCTTTCAAGTTAAGCAACTATAAGTATCCCTTGTTCGAACATTCGCTTTCCAAGTTCAGGTTAACCAACGAACTCAGACTAGATAGCAGAAGCTAGCATGTGCTTTATTTTGAACCAAATTTAGGTACGTAGGCTTAGGTTGCCAGTATGATAGTTGTTGGCGTTCTCCCAGGGGGAGCCATTGGCTTAGATAATACAGTGTGAACCTCCTCACACTCCAAGGCTGGATCTACCCTCAAGCCCCCCTTTCCCCCGAAGAACTTTTTCCTAGATACGCCACTGTTCCACAGTCCGTGTTTCAGAAAATTGCCAAAAAATGGTGAATGTACCAGTGGATTGCTGAAACAGTTTAGGCTGAATAAAAACTGAACCTGACCTCAACATTTGGCTTTTACCTAGTAAGTTCTGAAGAAATTTTGATTTATTTTGTTGTACTTTCTGTTTCTTTCAGTGCTTAGTCGCAATCTAAGGTTTGTTAACAACATCTTTCACTCAACATGACCTTGAAAAATATAAAATATAGGAGACACTGACATTTTTGTTGGATACTGAGAAGGACGAACCTAAACATCAACTTTCACGTTATTAGTACCTAGTCATATTATATTTTCTCATTTTAGTGAGAAAGCTCGGCGCGCCCCAAAAATCTA